TTTTTTTTTTTTTTGGTACTGAGGATCAAACTTGGGTCCTTGTGCTTGTGAGGCAGGTGGTGGCGGAACCACTGAGTTAAATCCCCGGCCCTCCTTTTGATTTTTTTATTTTGGGATAGGGTCCTGCTGAGTTCCGCAGGCAGAACTCAAACTTGTGATCCTCCTGCCTCAGCCTCCCAGAGTGCCTCCGTCCTTACAAGCCTATGCACCATGCCCAGCTTTGTCTCTGTGAATCGGCTCATCCACATCGTAGCCTGGGTCGCGCTTTATGTCTCTTAGGGACTGAACAACACCCCATGTAGGGACGTGCTGCATTTACCTGTTCACCTGGCAGTGGACACTGGGTAGCTGCCACCTTTTTTCTCCTCCCAGCACTGGGAATTGAACCCAGTGGCAAAGCAAGTGCTCTCCCTCTGAGCTGTACTCCAGCTCTGCGTGTGTGTGTCGCACATGTGCACATGTGTTACCTGGGATGGAACCCAGGGCCTTCATGCTCATCCACATCCCCCAGCTCTGCCCTTTGAAAATATTTTTAATTTGAGGACAAGTTCTCACTGTATTGCCCAGGCTGGCATATACCTTGAGATCCTCCTTCCTCAGCCTCCCCAAAAGCTGGGCTTTATAAGCGCGTGCCTCTGGACACTCTGGTACATTTTCGGCCCACTGTCTCATTCCAGAACCTTTCCTCTCCCCAGAAAGACAACCCTGCCCAGTGAGCAGCGCTCTCCACGCCCTGCCCTGCCTGGCCCCACCAGGTCCTAATTTGTTTTTCCTGGAGTCACCTGTCCCGGATGTTTCCTGTTCATGGACTGTATAGTGCATGGCCATTCACTCAGTGTCACCTCTTCAGGGTCCCTCCTCTCCCTTCCCTCCACTTTCCTGCTCCTCTTCCTCTCCGTCTCCCTCCTTTCTCTGAGATGGGGTCTCTGCAGCCCAGGCTGGCTCTGAACGCTTGGCCTCAAGCAACCTCCCTGTCCCAGCCCCCAAGTAGCCAGGACTACAGGTGTGCGCCCCTCCTGGCCCACTGTTAAGCACTGTCCCAAAGTGTTTCACGGTGACGTCCTCTGGGTTGGGCTCAGCGCCCCAGCCCTTGCGGGTTGGCCCTGTCTTCCAGGCCCTGAGCTGGTTGTTCGGGTGGAACAGCTCGCTTCCTGTCTTCTACATCCGGGAGAGGAGCCAGAGGGTCCTGCTGTACGTGTGCGGCCACACGGCGGTCATCTACAACGTCCCGAGGAACACGCAGCACCACCTGCAGGTAGGGGCCTCACCTTGCTCCTTCTCTTCCAGCCCTGCTCCTGGCTCCGAGCTCAGCACCCGCAGCTGAGCGACAGCAGGCTGTGCTGATTTTGTCACAAGACTTCAGAGTGTTGGGAACAATGCTACATAATTCTAAGGAAAAATCATTTGGTTAGTCTAGTTCTCTTGCCTACAGCCCAGCTACAGAATAACTCCAGTTTGGCCTCCGGTCACAACTGAGACTTCAGTGATCCTTCCCCTGTCTCCTACATCAGAGCACCCGTAGTTTTACATCTCTGCCTCTGCGGGGTTAGACCCAGTGCCACCGAGGTCCAGGAAACAGGTGGCCATTCCCGAGGGACGCATTCTATTCTGATATCCTGAGGCTCCAGGGTTGGCAGCGACACCCTAGCCCTGCCCAGACAGTGACTGGGCCTCCTGACTGAGAAGTTTTGGGGAGAGCAGGGTGTGGTGGTTGCGAGCCTGTCATCCCAGCACTCAGCAGGCTGAGGCAGGAGGATTTCCAAGAGTTTAAAGCCAGCCTGGGCTACATAGTGAGACCCTATCTAAAGAAAAGAAAAGACAAAACGCCACTGTGCTTCCTCCAGTCCGGCCATCCGGGCTCCTTTCACCTCACCATCACCCACCCTGGGTCCCGTTTCCCTGTGGCTGACTTCCCCCTGTTTGACCTGGTAAAGACCTCAGCCACCTGTCACCGGCACGTGTGGCCACGGGACCTTCCTTTGGGGCCACCTTGACCCAGAACGTCACAGTGGTTGCCTGAGCCCAGGGGCTGGGGTTATCGGACCCAGGTGCCGCTGAGGGCTTCGCTCTCCCAGTGGCCACAAAGGCAGGGGAACCATAGGGACCCCAGGGGCCCAGGGCCCCTGCTGGGAGCTGGGGCAGGGGAAAGGGACTCTAAGAAGCAACCCACCGGGAGACGGAGCCCCAGAAGACCCATGCAGATGCATTTCCTTCTTCACCTCCGCAGGGCCACCGGAACGTCATCTCCTGCCTGTGCGTCAGTGAGGACCGGCGGTGGATCGCCACTGCAGACAAGGGGCCCGGCTGCCTGATCATCATCTGGGACTCATTCACAGGGTAGGCTGGGTCTGCACTGCAGAGTCTCTGCCACTGTGACTAAGCAAAGATGGGGCCCGAGCAAGGCTGACTCAGAGTAACCCGACTCACACAAGTTCACAGCATAAAGCAGAGGCTGGGCCTGTCCCTTCCCATGAGAAGCATTGCTCTCATAGGGACAGATCTTCTAGTCATGGGTCAGGCCACCTCTTCTGGGAGGGTTTTAATGGTTGCCACCCAGTGTCCCCTCCCCAGCCCTGGGCATGCCCGCTTCCTGCTGCCCGTCCCCTGCTGCTGGCTCTTCCCTAAAGGGCCTTTGCTCTGAGCTACACTCCTAGCCCTCTTTGCATTTTTAAATTTTGAGACAGGATCTCACTAAGTTGCCTGGGCTGGGCTTGAACTTGCGATCCTCCTGCCTCAGCCTCCCAAAGTACAGGGATTACATGCGTGTGCCTGGCTACTATTTCCAAATAAAGCCACATGCTGAGGTTCTGGGTAGACGTGGATTTGGGGGACATCATCCAACCCACCCATGCAGGGGTCAGTACCTCGTGTCCCTGGAAGGGTTTTCTTTTTTTTCTTTCCCTCCTGGTCCCGAGCTGAGTAGGACTCAGACTCTGCCGAGGTGGGAAGGCCCGGCAGGTGCGGGTGGCAGAGGCTGTTACTGTCCTGGAGCCAGGGACATGGGGTCTGCCCCCCGCCCACTATGACCTCCACAGGACGAGTCGCCAGTCCCCATCCTCCTCTGCCTCATTCTTGGGGCTCCTGACCCTGCATGTGTGGGCAACTCTGACACGGCACCCCTGGCTCCCCTCCCCGCTGTCCCTCTGTCCCTTCTCACTGTCCCTCTGGGGTCCCTGGGACGAGCCCTGCGGTGAGGAGCTGTTACATGCTGTTCCCCAGTCAGGAGCCACAGCTTTCGGTGGCGTTCCCTCCTCTTCCTGAGAGGAGGTGGCAGGGGCCGTCCCTGTGGAAGTTCCTGGGAGTCCTGCATCATCCACCTCCCGGATGCCTCCTGCCTGGGCTATTGCAGCAGGCGCCAAACCAGGCTCCATCCTCCAGGCCACTCTGGGCCAGCCTCCTTTGTGGTAAAATACAGACCTTTCAAAACCCACCAAGTTAGCCAGGTGTGGTGACACACGCCTGTCTTCCAGAACTCAGGAGGCTGAGGCAGGAGGATTGCTGGGAGTTCCAGACCAGCCTGGGCTCCATAGTGAGACCCTGTCTCAAGAAAACAAAACAAATCTACCAGTTCTGTGATTTTAAAAAGTGTAATCCAGTGGTGTTAATCCCATCCAAAATCCACAACCATCGCTGGTTCCCATTTCCAGCCATTTCTGTTGCTCGGAGTGAAACTCTATCCTGGTGCCCCCACCCCCAGGCGCCCTCTCCTCTGCCACCGCCTCTGCAGGCGCCTCCTGTACACAGGACCCGGCCGGGAAAGGAACCCTGCAGCAGGCGTCCTGCGGGGTCTGTGGCTTTCCCGGGGCTGTTTTCAGGGTTCCCCCACAGGGGCCTGTGCGGCGCAGTCCTGTCCGTCCCATTGTGTGGATCAAACATTCTGTTGGGCCGAGGATTTAGCTCAGTGGTGCCACGCCTACCTGGCAAGCAAAAGGTCCTCAGTTCGATCCCTGGTATGGAAAAAAACCCAAAAAACATTTTGTCCACTCATCTGCTCATGTTTTTGTTTGTTTGCTTGTTTTTTGAGCCAGGGCTTCACTATGTAATTTAGGCTGGCTTTGAACTCACTGTGATCTTCCTGCCTCAGCCTCCTGAGAATGCTGGGATCACAGGTGTGTGCGCCACCACACCCAGCTAATCGGTTCTTTTTTTGGTACCAGGGATCAAACTCGGGTCCTTGCGCTTGCGAGGCAGGTGGCGGAACCACTGAGCTAAATCCCCAACCCAATCGTTTCTTTTTTAATTTCCAAGCTAAGCATAACTGATTGACTGAAACATATGAGTGAGTTTTATGATGGCTTTGGGGCCCAGAAGAGGTTATTCAGAGATGTTTTGGTTTTGGAATTAGTATTCGCTTTATTGACATGAGAAACTGACATCTGTGGTTCTTAAGCTTTTTGTTCAACTTACAAATCTTGCTGTGCTTGCAAATGTAGCATATTTTTGCAGTCACCTGTGAGGAGGCTTTGATGAATGTTTGGCCTCACACACTTAGTCCTTAATTCTTTTTCAACATCTTAAATGGCATTTAGAAATGTAATATATTCTGTTTTATGTTTAAGTGTTTTAGTGCTCTTATTAACAAACAAATCCTTCACCAGTATTTAAGTAATTCCTGTAAATCTAATAAGTTTAGGGATAAATACAGTAAATCTTAAATTCTCCTAAATGCTCTAGCATTGTTTATAAACCTCGTGCGGTTTTAGTTTAAAATTGCAAGTCTAAATCAACGACCTATTTTAAATTAGAATCACAAGTTGACTCTGTTGGAGATTCTAGTATATCAAATTCTCTTCTTCAGCATTATGTATTCCTTTAAAATGAACTAATTTTCTTTGTATAAAGTCGTCAGCACGGAGCTGACTGACTTCGTGGAATAAGACACATTTCCCCACTAAGAACTCCCATTGTCATTCCCGAAGACTGGACGATTGCCCTCCAGGTGCATTTTTTTGGTATTTTGAGACAAGGTCTCACTATGTATTCCAAGCTGGCCTTGAACTCACGGTGCTCTTCCTGCCTCAGCCTAGTGAGTGCTGGGAGTACAGACATCCACCACCACTCCTAGTCCCTATGCATTTTTGGTCTCTTTCTCATTTTTTTGGTACTGGGGATCGAACTCCGGACCTTAAGCTTCCAAGGCAGGCCGCGGAACCACTGAGCTAAATCCCCTGCCCTCGTTCTTTTTTGAAGGCAGCATAGTTATTCACTATGTGGTTGTGACATAATCTTTTAAAAATAATTCTTGTTGCTAATGGACACTTGCCCCCCCCCCCCGGCCCCCATGTATCTTCACCTGTGTTTAATGAGCACGCGCATTTACACTCCTCCGCGCTGTGTGCAGAGGCCCGGCCCGGCGCCTTCCCATTCTCCCGTCGGTCACCTTTCCCGGGTTTGCATCCTCTGTGTACGACACAGTGCCCGGCGGAGAACCAGGAGCAGTGGGCGCGGCCCCGCACCTGGCCGCTGCCCTGAGCGCGGCTCGGCACCCGGAAGAGACCCGGACCCCGTTCGCCCCCTGGCTTCGGAAGCTGGGGTGGGAGCCAAGCCCTTCCTGTCTTGCAGCATCCCCGTGCACACCATATTTGACAGCTGCCCGCAAGGGAACGGCATCAGGGCTATAGCCATCAGCCACGACGCCAAGTACCTGGCCACCGTCTCCGATGCTGACGCCCAGGTACAGGCCCACGCAGTCCGGAACCCGGCCGGGGGGCCCCGGGGCGCCTTTGCGCACCTGCTCAGTTGCCCGAAGCCGGGGCGCGGGGTCTCAGGCGCTGCCTGCTCTCCCTCCTCCAGGAAGTCTGTATCTGGAGGTGGACTCTGGCGGTGGAGACGCCTGCGTGCACCCTGGAGCTCCCCAGAGAGCACGGCTTCCAGGTGAGTAGGGTCACCCCAGAGAACTTGGCCTACAGCTACCGAAGCCGGGTCTGTTCGCCTTTTGCCGCAGCGGAGTTTGCAGTGGTGCGTGGAACTTTCTAGAGACACGCTCCTCTCCAGACTCATTTATCTTTGCTAATAACAGCTAATGAGTTTCAAGCACTTCGGATGCACTGAATCTGCTGAATTCTTTACTTACCTTATCTCACGTAATCCAGTAATCCACAAAAACATGCTGGCGAGGAGACACCAATACCCGTGGACTGCTCCTGTGAATTATTAAATAACTGGGCTAGAGTCTCCCAGCTGGCTGCCTTTCTTATTCTAGAAACAAGCTCTTACCTGCTTTTAACCTGGTCCCAAATTTGCAAGGTGCATAAAGGAGTTACTGCTGGGTGTGGTGGTGGATGCCTGTAATCCCAGCACTGGGAAGGCTGAGGCAGGAGGATCACTGTGAGTTGTAGGCCCACCCAAAGGACATAGGGAGACCATCTGGAAAGAACAACAGCAAAAGTTATTATTACTCTTGGTTTCCATGGAGTGACTGTGACCAACACCTTCAGGGTGGTGCTGGGGGCTGTGCTGAATCCATAGATCACTTCGGGGAGCATTGTCATTTTAATTGTGTCCTCTTCCCACCGTGAGCACCAGGTGTCTTGCTGTTTATTTATGTCTTCTTTAATTTTTTAGCAGTATTTTGTAATTTTCAGAGTCTACGTCTTTCGCCTCCTGCGTTAAATTTATTCCTATGCATTTATTCTTTTTAGTGCTCTTGTAAGTGGAATTGTTTTCTTAATTTCTTTTTCTGGTTGTTCCTTGCTAGTACATAGAAATGCAGCTGGGTCTGTGGGTTGGTTTTGTGTCCTGCAACTTTGCTGAATGCACTATTTAAATTTAAATTGATTACAATTAAATAAAATGACGAATTTGGTTTCTCAGTTTTACTAGGCACAATTTTTGTTTTTCAGTACGGGGGATTACACCCAGGCCCTTTGCACCAAGCTGCATCCCCAGCCCCTCTTATTTTTGATTTTGAAACGGTCCCTTAATTGCTAGGTTACCCAGGCTGGGCTCGAACTTGCAGTCTCCCTGCTATCCTGTCCTCCTCTGCCTCCACCTCCCCTTGCTGCTTTTCCTCTGAGATCTTCTCTTCCATCCCGTTTTCTCCCCAGGCGGCCTGGGGTCGCCTCCTCCCCTGAAGCCTCCAGCTCACCCAGCAGCCTTCATGGTCAGCGAGCCTTTCTCCTTCTCTGTCTCTTTTTTCTTTTCTTTCTTTTCAGTTTATTGCATGGAGTTACAGTGGTCCCTTGACTTACGAACTCAATTTGTTCTCGAGGGCTAGTTGTAACTCAGGCTCAGGCTCCTCTGCACAGCCTTCACAGTCTCTCCTGTACTCAGGCAGATCTCAGTGTCCTTAGAGAGATGTAGGCCCAGGATTTCTCAGTGAACCCACACAGGAGAGGATGCTGTAATACTCCTTCCGGGACTCTTTAAGGGTCAATCTGTATCTGAGACTATCTGGAAGCACGAGTGGCGGGCATTTGGGTCGTAACGCAAGACTTTGGTCGTAAGTTAGAACTAAAATTCTGGGTGTAACCCAAGTTTTTCATATGTTAGCCTGGCCATAACTCGAGGGTCCACTGTACACTAGTCTAAGTGAAAGCAGACCCCAAGTGGTTACATGATACAAGCTGTGAGTCTTTTATTTTATTTTATTTTTTGCTGTGAGGTTTTTAAACTTGTGACAAGGGACAGAAGGGACATTCTGCTCATTGCAAGGAAATCCTCACTTAGGTTTCCGTGAGCCACAAGCACTTAAAACCCATGATCCATCCGCGGATCAACCTTGGCCAGCACAGCCCCTACCAGCAGCTGGGTGTGTTCTGCGCTGGTCGCCCTGGAGCTGGATGACCTCTCCATATTCTGGGTGCTCGATTACAGTACCACTGCAGGCCAAGTCCTTCTTACACGCCTTCCCCAACTTCTTTTTATGGAGACCATCAGCGATCCCGTGGACAGTAAGGGTCTTCCCGCCATCTCTTTTGGATTCTGCCATGGGTATAATCTGCAGTGCCAGCAGGAAGCCGGGCATCACCCTTACTTGCATCAGCAAAGGGGTCGAAAGAGTGGAGAGTGGACATGCCACACGATTCCTTTTCCTCAGTGGAATTGGCCTGGGGAAGGGGCTGTGGGAGAACGGGAAGGGGGAGATGGGCATACGGACGGACGGATGGACAGATGGATCCCAGGAAGCAGGGGTTAAGGGGAGGCAGCCGGGCCGGCGTGGTTCAGTGTCTCAGGCCTTTCTTTTTTTGTCTCAACATTGTGCTCCCAGCTCCCTCCCAGCCCTTTTTATATTTGTATTTTGAGAGCTCATCTGAGGTCCTGGAGGGTAGCAAAGCCACTTGTGTGCCCCGGCTGAGGAGTACCCCTCCCCTCCCAGGGACAGCCGCCCTCACCTGGACGGCCAGATCTTCCATGTCCACCTTGGCGATCAGTGGGGTGACAGATGTCACAGCCAGATCACCTTCACGTCCAGTGTATTTTTTTATTTTGAGACAGGGACTCGGTAAGTCACTAAATTCCCTGGACTGGACTCAGATTTGTAGTCCTCCTGCCTCAGCCTCCCAAAATGCTGGGATGATAGGTGTGCACCACCATGCATGGCCAGCATGGCAATTTTTGAAATGGGTAAAACATTATGTCCCTCCTTTACTTACAATCCTTCAGTGATTTCTCACTGCCCTTAGACAAAATCCAAAACTCTATGTTGTGGTCTCCCAGGTAGGATCTGATCTATCCATCAGTCTCCCAGCATCTGTCCTCTTGATTATTAGTGTTTCTCATTTGTCTTTTCTAGAATTTTATAGAAACACCCTCCTTCTCCCCAGATGTCATTGGCTTTTTTCACTCAACTTAATTATGTTGTTGTGTGTATCGGTGATTTATTCTTTTTCATGTTTGGAAGCATCTCTGTTTATTCACTATTGATGGACATTGGCCTTGTGTCCTGGTTGTGGCTGTTAAAAATAAAGCTGCTGTGAATGGCCATTCACACATCTTCATGTCTATATCTTAATTTCTTGTGGTCCTGGTCTTTATTTTTGAGGGATGCTTCCCCCGAGTTTAGTGTCCCAGATTAGTAGATTTTTCTCCTTTGGGCACTTTGAAGACAGAATTCCATCATCTTCTGGCTGCTACCAGTTCTGTTGAGAAGTCAGCTGTCAGCCCCTCTTTTGAAAGGAACCTGGATGCTTTTAAAGATTTTTTTGGTTTTCAGCAGTTTTTCAGTGATGTGTTTTTGTGTACAGAGTATGTTGTTGACGTTTTTTTAAAAAAATCATTATTCTTTGGGGCTTCTTGAAACTGGGATATATTATCTCTTTCCTCAGTTTTGGAAAATTCTCAGCATTGTTTCTCTAAAGGTCCCTTTGACCACACCTTTCTTTCCTCTTCTTGTAGGACTCCAGTTACCTGAGAGCTGGAGCTTCTCCCATTGTGTCCTGTTGCTCTTTTCTGTTTTTCTGTCCTTGATCCTTTGTGCTCCAGCCTGGATAGTTTCTACTATTTGTCTCCCTTCTCAGGAATATCTAATTCTCTTTTAAACCATCTTTTGCATTTTTTTAAATCATTTTTTTCAGATCTAAAATTTCCCTTTGATTCTTCTTTTTTTGGCACCAGGGATTGAACTCTGGACCTTGCGCTTTCAAGGCAGGTGGCAGAACCACTAGCTAAATCCCTGCCCCCACCCCCTTTTTAATAGAGCTATTTGCTGTGGTTGTCATTTTGTCCCTTGCTTTCTTGTACATATTGCTGCCAGTTATTATCAGGTCTGTGTCTGGTAGTCCCAGCACCCAGACCCCTGTGGGCCTCTTTCTGTTGACTGCCGTTCTCCCATGGTGTTAGGTTATGTGCATGTGTCTCATAGGCTTGGCTATTTTTCTTTCAATACTTGATTTTTTTGTTGGTTTGCTTGGTTTTTTTTTTTTTTTTTTTGCTTGTTTATTTTTGAGACAGGGTCTCACTATGTAGTTCAGGCTGGCCTTGAATTCCCAGTGTTCCTCCTGCCTCAGCCTCCTGAGTGCTGGGATTACAGGTGTGTACCACCATGCCCAGCACCATGTCTTTTCTTGCATTCATTCATATCCCTACTGAGTTGTTTGTTTATTGCAATACTGGGCATTGAACCCAGGGCCTTTGCATTGCACTACACCCCTAGCCCTTTTGATTTTCTTTTTTTTTTTTGCAACAGGTTCTCACTAAGCTCCCCAGGCTGGGCTCAAACTTGTGGTCCTCCTGTCCAGCCTCCCAGAGTGCTGAGATTACAGGCATGCACCCCCACACCTGGCCAGTTACTTCATTAAAATTATTATTTAATTTTAACATTTACCCTAACCAGTAGAAAAAAATGTATTATTACATGACATATTTTCATTCCTTATATTTCAGAACTACCTTACTTTTAACCCAGCAAATAATAAAGAATTGGTGAGCAATAGTAAAACACAGACAATATATTATTGGTGGGTAAGTAAAAACATTTCAATTTGTTTAAATATGGGTACAGGTTAGGTTTATTCTTTGAATACATGTGTTTTGCTAATGTAACGATATAGTATCTAGTTAGGGAGCAGTGAATATACATGGAATGTTTTGATTTATTTCAGTCCTATTGGAAATTAGCATATTAAGTCAGAAGCTGATAGTGAAATTTTATTTAATTTTTTAAAGTAATAAGGCAAATATTTATTTTTCGTGTATTTAGCAGGTAGTAACGGTAGGACTCGCTGAAACCTTGGACCTTATTCCCTTTCAGAAAGGAATTAGCTGGACAGGGATTTAGCTCAGTGGTGCCACTGCCTGCCTCACAAGCGCAAGGTTCTGAGTTCAATTTCTGGCGCCCCCCTCCCCCCAAAAAAAACCAGAAAGGAATTGGCGAACTGATCAGCAGTATATACACAATCACAGGCCAAAGGGATTAATTTAGAGAAATTTTCATAGTTAAATGTAGAATTAGCACAGGACTCAGCAGTTCCCAGGTAACCCCGAAGGATTTGGGAGTTTGAACAAACACTTTTAGACAGATCCTCACTGTAGCAGCACTGGTGGGAATCAAAGGGCAGAGCAAACCAAAGAGCAGACCTGGCGGAGCAGGTGACCCAGACTCGGGAGGTCTTGGTTCTTTTTTTTTTTTGGCACCGGGGATCAAACTCTGGTCCTTGCGCTTGCAAGGCAGGCGGGGGAACCACTGAGCTGAATCCCCGGCCCTGTTGGTTCTTGACAGGTCAGGGACAGGCGTGCCAGACGGGGCTGAAAGGGAGAAACGCCCTGTGCTGTGCCCTTCCTCTTGCCTGGAATGTGGGACTCAGCCAGTCTGTGAGGAGCAGGGAGAAAGGGTGGGGCTGCTGAGCAGTGTGGGGTGAGCTTCAGGTGAGGACAGTGTCTTGGGATTAGATAGAAATGACAGCTGAGCTAGGCGTGGTGGTGCACGCCTGTCATCCCAGCATTTGGGAGGCTGAGGCAGGAGGATTGCCACGAGTTTGAGGCCAGCCTGGCCTACATAGTGAGACCCTGTCTCCCCCAAAAAACCCCAAACACACAAGAAATGACAGTTGAACTGTATGCTTTAAAGTTGTTAATGATTAATTTTATGTTAAGTGCATTTCACCTCAACTTTTAAGAAAATGGATCCTGGCACAGTAGCACACACCTCTAATCCCAGCTACTTTGGAGGCTGAGGCAGGAGGATTGCGAGTTTGAGGCCAGCCCAGGCAACTTAGTGAGACTCTGTCTCAAAATAAGAATAAAAAGGGCTGGGGGTGGAGCTCAGTGACAGAGCTCTTGCCTAGCAGGAAGGAGGCCCTGGGTTCAATCCCCAGTCTAGACACCCACACCCACACTGAATCACTGACTGTCAGGGGTATTTACTGTTTCCAGTATTTATTTTTAGTTTAGTTTAGTTTTAATGTAGAATTCAAATTCATATTAACAACCATCAAAAGTCACAGTTGTTTGTGGCTTTTTTTTTTTTTTTGTCCTAATGATTGAACCTGGGGCCTCAAATGCAGGGCAAACCACGCTGATCTTTTTCCCCAGCCTTTTTTATTTTTTACTTTGCAACAGGGTGTCGCCACATCCCCAGGTTACCCAGGCTGGTTTTGAACCTCTGATCCTCCTTCTTCAGCCTCCCAGAGTGCTGGGATTATAAGTATTTTGTGGCATTTTGAAATGTATTATCTTTTCTTTCAGAATGTTGTTAGCTATTGCCCAAGAAGCAGCTTTTCTTACCTGTAGAAGCTATAAATCTCTGACCTTGTTTAGATATGTTTTATTTTATTTTTCTATTATGTAGTTCTTCGGGAAACCAAGGTTTTTTAGTAATGACTTTTTTTCCTGTGCCTGTCAGCATGAAGAGAAAGATACACTTGTTCACAGTGCCCCACTTCTAGTGGAGAATGTGAGTATGCCTGTTGCATTTTATACGTCCAGTTTCGCGCAGAATAAGTATGTACGTACAAGCTTAGTTGTTTTGTGTTGTGCTCTGTATGTCTTAGTATTAAACCAGAGGGGAATAGTTTGAAAATTTTTACCTAGGTCCTTTATCTACACTGAATTGTCAGTTGAAAATAATGGGAGTATTGTTAAGATAAAATGTTCTGGAGAAAAGTCCACTAGTCTGAGAAAATGTTCCCTGAGGTGGTGGCTTTTATAAGGTCTCCGTGCATATTGATAAAGAAGGAGAGTTAATTTGAAGCGCCGTGAAGTGGAGTAGTTGGCATGACTGGATCCTTATGAAACTGCTCAGTTGCTGAATAATAAAAAACAATATAGAATATTTAGATGCTTAAGACCCCACAGGGAGCTTGGTGTGGTGGTGCTGGCCTGTAAACCCTACACTCGAGAGGCTGAGGCAGGAGGATCGCTTTGAGTTTGAGGTCAGCCTGGGCTACATAGTGAGCTCAAGATCAGCCCGGGCTACAAAATGAGACCCTGTCTCAAATAAAATAACCAGACAGCTAAGGGGACATGGGCTAAGTGGACAAAGGCCTGACCCTTTCCTTGTGCCTAGTGAGCCTGCCCAGGGCCAGGACGTCCAATCCACAGGCGATGGTCTTTTGGGGATTCTTTTCCCCCTTCCCCTCCGTGTCCCTCTGCTCAGCACTGCACTGCAGGATGGCGTGTGGGTGCGTGCTTCACTGCACACTAATTGAAAGCGCTATCTCCTGGCCTGTCTTTTGAAGCGCAGACATTCAACAAGCTGGTGGGGAAGTTCAGCCAGTCCATCTTCCACCCGAACTCCACCCAGATCCTCTCGGCGACCCTGGAGGGGAAGCTGGTGGTGTGGGACATCCACCGCTGTGCCTTGGCGCCCTCCAGCCTGGCCGACGGCCCCTTCATCAGGCCTTGCAAGCTGGTTCACCTGCAGAGAGAGGCAGTCAGCGTGCTTACCACAGCCGACGGGTAACTTGCCTCACGACACTGACACTGCACAGGGTCATGGTGACCTGGGGAGTCGGTTCCCTGGGGGAAAGAGAGCTGAGCGGGGTGGGGGCCGGGAGGGATGACTGCTTTTTATAGTCCCTCCGCTCACACTAATTGGCTGGAAAAAATTCATGGGCATGCATTGTGTAGAAAATCCCTTTCTGTTGGGAGAAACAGAAAATAACTAATTTTTTCTGTGCTGATTAGACTTCTTTTGTAATCCCATATTTTACATGCTTTAAATTAAAAAAAACAACTTGAATAGTTACATTGTTTTTGTTTGATTGCAAAATAACATTCATTACATAAAGATTTTTTTTGTACCCCAGGGTGGCCGCGAAGTCCAAGTGATCCTCCTGCCTCAGTCTCCCTATGCCTGGGAAGATTCTTTTTTTTTGCAATCCCAGATTGAACCCAGGGTCTTCACACTGAGCTACATCCCCAGCCTGCCTCTTCCTTACTTTCTTTTTTCTTTTTCAAACAGTGTCTCACTAAATTGTTAAGTTGCCAATTTGGGCTCAAATTTTCGAGCTGGGCGTGGTGGTGCACACCTATAATTCCAACACTGGGGAGGCTGAGGCAGGAGGATCACTGTGAATTTGAGCCCGGTTTGGGCTACATAGTGAGTTCAAGGCCATTCTGAATCACATAGCAAGACTCTTTCTCAAACAACAAAAGACAATCAAAAAGAGAATTTGTAAAAAAAAAAAAAAAAAAAAAAGAGAACTTGTGATCCTCCTGCCTCAGCCTCCCTGAGTGCTAGAATTACAAATGTGCACCACTACACCCAGCTAGAACTTGGCAAAATTGCCAACTCTTCAATTTCGAGTGGCCGTGGGGACTCACAGATGATTGTTACAAGCTTCAGAGGGAAGAGGGCTCCCATTCCAGCTGCTTCCATTCCTTGCTGAATAACCTTGAGCAAGAGCCTTGAGCTTGCTGAGCCTCCATTTCTCTGCCTATAAAGTGGGGCCAATACCACCATCTCCCGGCACAGGGGAGCCCTGGCAGCGCCAGCCTGGCCCATGTGTGTTAGAGAAGTACCTAAAGCGTGCGGCACATGCCCAGTGATGGCAGAGTCACCATGCCGCCTGCTTTCAAAGTTCCCGTTAGTTTCCTCTGCCTTTCCTTCCATGCAGGGGACAGGGAGGCCTGCGTGGCTTTTCAAAGCCAATTGTCATCCTCGCTCCCTGGTGCAGGAGGATGCAGCGGAATGCAGCAGGTTCTGCTGGTGGCTCTTAGTAGTTGGGGGCGAGGGCCCAGAAAGGCGGCCCTAGCTTCTCCACGCGGGTCTCTGAGAGCGCCCGGCATGCAGTGCTGCTTCTGTCCAGCAGAGGGCGCCAGAGGAGATGCCAGCCTGTGACTGCCACTGCCTGGTTACGAATCTGAGACCTTGGTTCATGGCGCTGTGTAATACAGGGGAGGATTCACTCCCCTTCTCCCTTGCCCCCGCTGTTAGAATTGTGGCAGAGGCTTAAAAACAACTGGGGCCATTTGGGGTGGATTCGAGGGCCGGAAAGAAAACCCACTTTGTCTCGTGGCACTGACATTGGCTGGGGCACCGGAAGGCCGGGGCCCTGGGCCACGAGGTCCCTGTCATCCACGGTCACTCGCAGAGCATGGAGTTGCTGACCTCAGAGAGCAGGAAGACGTCCCCTTTGCCTGTCATCTGGATTCCCTGTGTGTCGCCCTGTGATATCTGGGATCCACTTACATGAGAAGTTGCTGGTTGCTTAGCTGAAAGTCGTTTTTCTGGCTATCCTGTGTTGTTATTATCTAAATCTGGTAACTATAGTATTGGGGAAAATTTCTTAACTTCTCAGAGCCTTAGTTTCCTAGATGGAAAGTGAGTCAACAGCCGGGCATGGTAGTGCTCGTCCATAATCCTAGCACTGGGGAGGCTGAGACAGGAGGATCACTATGAGTTCAAGGCCAGCCTGGGCTACATAGCTCAAGAGTCTGTCTCCAAGCAAACAAACAAACAAACAAACAATTCAAAAATTAGTAAAATCAGTCTCACTGGCCAGGATTTAATGAAGCTTTTATAATCCCATAGCCCAGAGGCCACAGTCAGTGTTCAGTAGTTGGTACCTGCTACTGGTGCTTACCAAACCCATGTCACTCTCATTTCAGCTATATTGTAACAGGTGACATTAAGGGCAACATCAAGTTCTACGATCAGACCCTGTCCATTGCTAACTGGTACAGTCACCTCAACCTGAGCTGCATACGGACCCTGTCCTTCTCACCGAGCCCTGTGAGCCCTCGCACAGAGAAATCAAACTTCCCCCTGGACTGTACTTTAAAGGGTGACCTTTTCGTCGTCAGGTAGGTTGTAACAAAGCTGGTCGTTGTTGGGGGGGGGTCAAAAAAGTTGCTGGTGTCTTCTGTTTGCACGCAGCGGGCTGGCCTTCTTGTCCCTGGGATATGACATCGAGGAACCCAACCCCCTAGTCCTTTGCCTGGTTTCCAGATGGCTGGCCTTGGCCAGTTGCGAACTTTATTTGATCATTTTATAAATTAGCTAAGCATTATTTTAATATTAAGAATCTGGGGAGCTGGAGATTTAGCTCAGTGGTTCTGACACCTGGCTTGCAAGCGCAAGGTCCTGAGTTTGATTCCCGGTGTCAAAAAATAGGAATCCAGATAACTGGAGGCTGGAAAATCCCTACCCTGGAGTGCTGGTCTCTCAGGCCTTGGCTCACAGTCGGTCTCTTCTCTTGGGGCTGCACTTGTCCTCCCCACTGTGGTTAAAGGCGCTGGATAATTAGTAGCCGTAACATTTCAAGACCGAATTATCTGTGAGTCTGCTCAATTACCCTTGCAGTCTTTATGGGCACATCTGTATGTGTGCACCCAACTCCGAATTTGCATACACAAATGAATATTTGCATGTGCAGATTAGCTAATTGTACAACTGACTGTCCATCTGCATACTTAATGACTCCATTTCCATGTAGGAAAGTGAGCTTTTTTCACTTGCAAATGGAGGCTGTTGGCTATTGGTGTATTTTCGGAGATGTGGGGTTAATAATGTCACTAAATTACAGACGACAGAGGCGTTTCATGTGCAATTAGAAGCAGAATAGCTGGAGTGCCCCCTTCCCTGCAAACGCTCATGCTGTTTGGTGTCTCCTTGGCAAACAGGAATTTCATCATCGCAACATCTGATGCCACAGTGTACCACTTAACGACAGATGGCACCAGACTCGAGAAATTGTTCGTGGAGCCCAAGGACGCTGTGTGTGCCATCTCCTGCCACCCATACCAGCCGCTGATGGCCGTGGGGAGCGCGTGTGGGGTGATCAAGGTGTGGGATTACGAGCAAAAGAAATACCTGTTCAGCAGGGTCTTTGAGAAGGGGCTTGGCGTCCAGAGCCTGACCCACAACCCGGAAGGTAACAAACATCCCCTCTCCAGCCCCTCATGGGCTCCACAGGGCCGGAAGTCGCCTCTGACCGGGTGCCTGCACAGGCCAAGGACAGCCCTTCTGTCAGGGATCCGCAACCCCAGGCCTAGTCTAGGACGCTCGCACCCTCTGCGTCTCCCTGGATGAAGCCCTTCTCCGTCCATGTCCCCCGTGTGTCATTTCAGGCGCCCTGCTGGGAGCTGGCTTCACGGAGGGGACAGTTTACATTCTCGATGCGATGTCTCTGCAAAACGAGGCCCCAGAGCCTTTCAAGTACTCCAGAAGCAACGTGACACACGTCAGCTTTTCCCACGACTCCCAGTATATGGCCACTGCCGTAAGTCCTGGTGCTGGCCGAGCTGGTGGCTTTGACACCCGAGGAGAGGGGCCGGAAATGCGGGGGCAGCACTGTGGATCCCGACGGCACATGTGCAGCTCTGGTACACGGACAGCCGCGGGGCTGCAGGCCCTGCAGGGAGGGGTTGTGCGGCAGTCATTCCATGGTGTCTCAGGACTGTCACCCAGCGAGGACGGTGTCCAGGAAGGGGAGCGTTTGCCTCTGGACAGGGCCAGGGCCTTGGAACTTCTGGATTTACTGTCTACTGTCCTAGTGGCTGCCTTATTTCAGTTTGTGAGGTTTCAGAACCATCTCTGCATTTAGTCTTTCATTTCTCCCTTTCTCTCTCTCGGTCTCTGTCTCTTTTTCTTTCTCTCCCTCTCTCTTTCTCGCCTTATCTCTCTCTCTCTCTCTCTTTCTCTCTCTCTTTCTCTCTTTCTTTCTTTCTTTCTTTCTTTCTTTCTTTCTTTCTTTCTTTCTTTCTTTCTTTCTTTCTTTCTTTCTTTCTTTCTTTCTTTCTTTCTTTCTTTCTTTCTTTCTTTCTTCTTTTTTCTTTGTGGTGCTTGGGATTGAACCCAGGGCCTTCACACTGAGCTCCATCCCCAGTCCCTTTATGACTTCTTACTTTGAAACAGGGCCAATTTGAAAACCTCCTGCCTTAGCCTCCCAGAACGCTGGGATCATAGGCTGTCCCTCTCATTTTGGACAAGATGTCATTCTCATTGAATCACAGTGTTTGGGTTCTGCTCATTCCCCCTGTGAATGGGGCCTGGGATCTCAGAAAAGAGGGTCCCTGACCACTGACCTCGCCCCACCCCTGCTGTGCCCTGGTCTGCCTTTCTGCTGGGGGCACAGTGAGCCTGTGGCCGCCTACATGCTGCCCTCTGGTTTTCGCCCACAGCTTTGTACCTGGCTGGGGCCACCACAACCAGGCTGCTCTCTCCTGCTCAGGCTGTCGGACCTTCTGACATTTGCTGTGACTCTGCAGGGGGACAGAAGCGGAGCAAGCCTGCCTCTTGGTTTTCTATAGAGGACAAGGTGGGATCTCAGAAGAGAACTCAGACCATTGTCTCGCTCTCTGTCAGGACGTGAACTTCACCGTGGCCGTGTACATGATGGTGGTCCGAGGTGGCCGGAGGGTGTGGGAGTACTTGGCCCGGCTCCGCTCCCATCGCCAGAGCATCTGCAGCCTCCTATTTGGGGTTTACCTGGACAGCAACGAGCCGCGACTGCTGAGCCTGGGCAGAGACAGGCTCCTGGTGAGCCGCGGCATCGCCTTGCCTGTCAGCTCCCTGGGTGTCAAAGCTTCTCGGGACTCAGGCTCGCCACCCAGGAGCTGAGCTTGGGCTTGCGGGTGTCTCCTGGCCTCTCTGCAGATCGAGTACAACCTGAGCCGGAGCCACAAGGACCACCTGGAGGTCCTAGACATCCACCACACCGACCAGGGCCACCACCCGACCTGCATGGTGTGGTACCCGCTGCTCACCAAGGAGCTCTTCCTGCTGGTCTGCGACAGCGGCTACAAGGTGAAGCTTTTCAATTCCACCACCAAGATGTGCAGGTGAGTGCCCCACGGCTCTGCAGCACTGGAGCTGGACTCTCGGGGAGCGGGCGTGGGTGACTGGCAGCAGCAGCTGGGCTGCCCCGGTACTGCTTTTCCTTAACCACTTTTCCAAAAGGCACTCAGAGGAATGACCCACCACTGCCATGTTGTACGGCACCAAGAGAAATCCAGCATCTGTGTGTATTTGTCTTTTGGTACCAGGGATTGAACTCGGGACCTTGCACTTGGGAGACAGCCGGCAGAACCACTGAGTTACATCCTCGGCCCTTTTTTTGTTTGTTTTTAAAGCAAAACATTTATTGGTATATTTTAGATGTACATAATGATAACACTCATCCTAGGGAATTTGAACCTGTACACGACATATCTTGGTTCTTTTTTCCCCATTCTCCCCACTTCCTTCAACCCTTCTTCCCCTCCTTATTTACAAAAGCTTTGTTTCCATTTTTTTCCTTCTCTCCTCTCTTTTTTCCTGTCCCTTCTTTCCTTTCCCCCTCACCCCTGCCTTTTTCCCCTTCTCATTTGGACATTTTTTTTTTCCCATTTCCCAGTATCTTTTCTACATTTTGGTCCTCATTTCCACTTTCAGTTTCTCACACCAGAGAAACAATGTGGTATTTAAACATGTGTGTCCAATTTATCTCACTTAAGAGTGGTCTCAAAGCCGGGCGGGCGTGTTCGTGCATGCCTGTAATCCCAGCACTCCACTGGGGAGGCAGAGGCAGGAGGATCACTAGGAGTCCTAGGCCAGCCTGGGCGACATAGAGAGTTCATTGCCAGCCTAAACTACAGAGCAAGACAAAAACAAGAGTGTGGTCTCAAGATGCATCCATTTAGCTAGAAATGTCTGAAGCTCTTTCTTCTTTCTGGCAGACTAGTACTCCATTGTATAAAACACCCACATCTTCTTTATTCATTGGAAAATTGATGGGCATTTGGGCTGTTTCCAAGACTTAGCTATTATGAACTGTACTGCTGTAGGACCAGGGATTTAGCTCAGTGCTGCCACACCTGCCTCCCAAGTGCAAAGTCCTGAGTTCGATCCCAAGTACCAAAACAACAACAACAAAAACTGTAAACATGGGTGTGCATATATTGCTGTGGTGTGATGCTCTTAATTCTTTCCAGAAGATACCAAGAAGGGGAAGAGCTGGGCTTTTGTTTTGTTTGTTTTTCTGGACAGGGTCTGGGTATGCAGTTCAGGCTGGCGTTGAACTCATTATGTATCTATGCTGGCCTCCAACTCACAGCAATCCTCCTGCCTCAGCCTCCTGAGTGCTGGGATTACAGGCCTGTGGCACTACACTTCACTTAGTTTTAGTTTTCTTTTTCTTTTGTACCAGGGATTCAACTCGGGTCCTTGTGCTTGCGCAGCAGGCGGCAAAACCACTGAGCTAAATCCCCGGCCCTAGTTTTAGTTTTTTGAGGAATCCCCACACTGATTTCCGTAATGATAGACCAGTCTACACTCCCACCAAGAGTAGAGAAGGGTTCTTTTTTTCCCACAGCACCTCTAGCATTTGTTACTGATTCATTCCTTTTTTTTTTTTGTACCAGGGATCAAACTTGGGACCTTGCGCTTTTGAGGCAGGAGGCAGAACCACTGAGCTAAAACTCCAGCCCCTCATTTCTTATAGCAGCCATTCTTTCTGGAATAAGATGGAATCAGCATTATAATTTGCATCTCTCAAATGATTGGTGATGTTGAACATTTTTTCATATACTTATTGCTATTTCTACTTCTTCATCTGAGAAGTGTCTTTTCATTTCAGATCCCCATTTTTGGATTGGGTCTTTAAATTGGAGGGTCTGACTTTTTGAGTTCTGTTTGGTATTTTGATTGGGGTTGCATTAAAACTCTGTAACAGTTATGGAAGTATGGCTATTTTCACTATATTGGTTCTTCCTTCCCAAGAACAAGGAATGTCTTTCCATTTTCTGACATCCTCTTCAATCTCCTTTTTCCAGAGTACTGTAGTTTGCAGAGTAGAGATCTTTTATTTCCTTTGTTCGATTGATTCCTAGGTATTTCATTTTTTTTGGATCCTATTATGAAGGGTATTGTTTCCCTAATTTCTCTCTCAGTGAGTTTGTTGTTTGTGTACAGGAAGGCTATTGATTTTTATTTTGTTTTGTTTTGCTTTGTTTAGTACTGGGGATCGAACTCTGGACCTTGCACTTGAGAGGCAGACACAGCACCACTGAGCTAAATCCCTGGCCCATTGATTTTTGAGTGCTGACTTTGTATCCAGCTATGCCACTGAATTTGATTATTAAATCTAGAGTTTTGGAGTTTTGGGGGTCTTCTATGTAGAGTATCATGTCATCCGCAAATAGTGATAGTTTAACTTCTTCCTTTTCTATCCTTATTCCTTTTATTTCTTTCTCTTGTCTAATTGCTCTAGCTAATGTATCCAGAACTATATTGAATAAGAGTGGTGACAGTGGACATCTTGTCTTGTTCTTGATTTTAGCGTGAAAGCTTTCAGTTTTTGTCCATTTAGTATGATGTTGGCTGTTGGTTTGTCTTAGATGGCTTTTATCAGATTGCAATAAAGACCATCTATTCTGATATTCTGTAGGGTTTTTTTTTTTTTATCATGAATGGGTGTTGGACCTTGTCAAAAGCTTTTTGTGCATCTGTTGAGATGATCATGTGGTTTTTGTCCTTGGCTCTATTACTAGGGTGTGTTACATTTATTGATTTGCATTTGTTGAACCATCCCTACATCCCTGGGATGAATCCTACTTGGTCATGGTGTATAATCTACTTGATGATTTGCTGCACTCTATTTGCTAGTAACTTATTGAGGATTTCTGAGTCCTGTTCATTAGGGAGATTGGCCTGTAGTTCTCCTTTTTGGTTGGATCCTTCTCTGGTTTTAGTATCAGGATGGTAATGGTTGCTTGGAGAAATTAATTTGGGAGTATTGCTTCCCTTTCAGTTTCATTAAAGAGTTTGGGAAGTAATAGCATTAGGTCTTCTCTAGATTTCCTATAGAATTCAGCAGTGAATCCATCAGGGTCTGGGCTTTTCTTTGTTTGTAGGTTTTTAATTACATCTTCAATTTTATTGACTGATATTGGTTTACTTAGAATTTTTGTATCTTCTTGATTCACCTTTGATAATTCATATGTATCTAGGAATCTGTCCATTTCTTCTTTATTTTCCATCTTATTAGAATATAAGTACAGCCAAAAAGATATAAGTACTCTAAGTAGGTATTGATGATCTTCTGGATTTCTGTTGGATTTGTTGTGATTTCACCCTTTTCATTACTAATTGAATGGATTTGAGTCTTTTCTTTCCTTTTTTTGGATAAGATTGGCTAAGAGTTTATCAGTTTTATTTAATCTTTCAATGAACCAACTCTTCGATTCATTGATTCTTCGTATTTTTTTTTTTTTTAGTTTCCACTGTATTAACTTCTGCTCTGATCTTTATCATTTCTTCCCTCATATGAGCTCTGGGCCTGTCTTAGTCTTCTTTTTCTAGAAGCTTGAGGTTCAACATTAGGTTGAGTTCGCTCTGTTTTTCTGGGGGTTTTTTGTTTTTTTGTTTTTGGCTCTTTTTCTGATATGAGAATTTACTGCTATAAATTTCCCTCGTAGGACTGCTTTCATTGCATCCCTTAAGTTCCAGTATGTTGTATTGGCATTATTGTTTAATTCTAAAACTGTCTAATTTCATCTTTAATTTAATCTGTGACCCATTGGTTGTTCAGGAGGGTGTTATTTAATTTCCATGTGTTTATGAAGTTCTTACAGTTTCTTTTGCCATTGAATTCCAATTTCATTTCAATTTTATATGGTCTGATACTATGCATGGGATAATTTCAATTCCTTTGCATTTACTTAAGCATGTTCTATGAGCTAGTATGTGATATGTGGTCTATTTTGGAGAATATCGTATGTGCAGCCGAAAAGAATGTGTATTCTGATGTTGTGGGGTGGAACACTCTGTAGACATCTAGTAAGTCTATTTGTTCAAAAGTTTGGTTCAGTTCTGATATTTCTTTGTTGATTTTTTTTTGAGATAGGCTCTTGCTGTGTAGTTCAGGCTGCCCTTAAACTCACTGTGTAGCCTGGGCAGGCCTTGAACTCACAACAATACTCCTGCCTCAGCCTCCCATGTGCTGGGATTATAGGCATGCACCACTACACCCAGCTCTTTGTTGATTTTTTTGTCTAGTTGATCTGTCTATTTGTGACAGGTCCCTTATTACAACCGTATTAGTGTTTATTTGATTTTTCATGTCTATTAATATTTGTTTTATATAATTGGGTATGCTGGTATTTGGTGGATATATATATTTATGATTGTTATCTCTTCCTCTTGGGGTTGTTCCCTTTACAAGGATGTAGTGACCTTTGTCTCTCAGTCTTGGCTTGAAATCCACTTTATCGGCAAATAGAATAGCTACCCCTGGATTTTTCCTGGTTCCTGTCACATGGAGTATTGTTTTCCATTCTTTGACTTTCAGTCTCTGAATTTCTTTTTGAATTAAATGTGTTTCTTGTATGCAGGATATTGTTGGATCTTGCTTCTTGAGCCATTCTGCCAATCTGTTTCTTTTGATTGGTGAATTGAGAACACTTGTATTGATGGTTATAACTGATATATTGACTTATCCTTGTCATGTTATTTTCCTGTTGTTGGTCACCCCCTCCCCATTTTTTTTGGTGGTACCGGGGATCCAACTCAGGACCTTGCGCTTGCAAGGCAGGCATGGTGCCACTGAGCTAAATCCCTGGCCCTACCCCCTCCCCATTTAATTGCTTGCCTTGCCTGGTGGATTCATTCTGTTTGGGTTCATGGAGTTGTAGTCCTTGTTATCTTTTTCTAGAATGTCCTTCAGAACATTTTGGAGTGCTGGTTTGATGTCCATGAATTTCCTCATGTATTCTTTGTCATGGAAGTATCTTATTTCTCTATCAATTTTGAAAGATAGTTTTGCAGGGTACATCAATCTGAGTTGGAGGTTGTTTTCTTTTAG